GGCTGGGGCTCGCAGCCGCGGGCCGAGAGGGCTCGGGGCGCGGGGCGGGAGGTGGGCGTTCGTCCTCCGGCCACCCCTACCCTTCCAGTAAAAGGTCGCGGAATCAAGGAAGGAACGAGGGATGGCGGGGGGGGGGGAGCCGGGGTCACCTCGACCCCACTTGGACGCTCCCTGCCTCAGTTTCCCTTTCGGTACAATGGAGCTTGGGCGATAACCAGCGCTGTTGGTCTGGGCGGGACGGCGGCTTCATCCCTAACCTCCGGCCCCCAGGCGGGCGTCGAACCCGGGTTGGAATCGGGTGAGCCTTCTGGACAGTTCTACCGTCCAGAGGAGGCGCGAGGACGCGGGGTGTGTGTGCGTGAAGCACTGGGGTTGTGGGCTCTGCAGGTGGACGCTCCTGGGCCCCGAGGTGTGGGACCAGCGGGGGGCGCGCGGGGAGCCGAAAACCGAGCGCGTGCATGCACGCGCGCGCACACACAGGGGGCGCACACACACGGGCACACACACACACAAGGGGCGCACACACACAGGGGGCGCACACACACAGGGGGCGCACACACACACACAAGGGGCTCACACACACGGGCACACACACACGGGCGCGCACACACACAGGGGGCTCACACACACACAGGGCGCGCACACACACACACACACACAGGGGGCGCACACACACACGGGCGCGCACACACACAGGGGGTTCACACACACAGGGGGTGCACACACACACGGGCGCGCACACACACAGGGGGCTCACACACACAGGGCGCGCACACACACACGGGCGCGCACAGACATGGGCACACACACGGACGGGCACACACACACACACACATACACGGCACGCACCGCCCGGCCACCCGCGCCTCGCCCCGGGGAGGGCGCTTCCGGAGCGTGGAAGGCTTTTCTGCGGGTCCCCTGGCGCCGTCTGTCCGGAATGGGGCGGGCGCGGGGGTCTGGCAGGGCGGCTCCGGGAAGTCCCGGGCCCGCACGCGCGGCGGCCGGGGAAGGGGCGCGCGGGAGCCGAGCCTCCGTGGGGGAACCCCTGCGGGGTCTTCCCGGCCCCGCGCGGACACCTCCCCTTTCTGGCCTGGTGGGCACGCGGGGCCCCTCCAGCACGCGGGGATTGGGGGGCGCGGACCCCGAGGGCCCCCAGCCCGGTCCCGAGCCCCGTCGGAGATGGGGATCACGCGGGTGGAGTCCGGGCCCGACCCCCCAGTCCGCGCTCGGTCGCGCTCGGT